CAGGAATAACTTAAGCTAAAGGTTTGGACATTTATGGCACAGCCTGAATTTGAATATGAAGAAACTTGGGGAAATAGCATAGTGTATTTGAAGACCATAAAAGAAAGTAAAAATAGATCTGCTAAAGAAAAAGCTGTATGAAGAACACATCATACATGTAACTGACTGTATGGCCCTTTTTCACGCTTACTTTTGAGATACAGAAGCGAGGTAAACAGAGATTGCAAAGGGTGACACAAGTCAATGAAATAAAAAGGCTTCAGTAAAATTCAGGCAAAAGCTTTTTAAAAGAGAAAATGAAATTCTCAAGTTCCATTTACTTAAGAAAATGGTACATGCATCATTTGCAGACATCACTGCCATTACAGTAGTAACTGAAAACTGTGAAGACAGCAAACAGAAGATGCCCTATTTGTATTAATGGCACCTATTTCAGACACTAACTAGAGTGAGATCTTCTCAATTAAGAAAATGTATAAATATTTATACATATAAATATACATGTATAAATACAGATATTTACGCATTTCTCCTCTTCTCTGGTCTTGGGTATTACCTCTCTTCTACACTACATACTCTTATTCCTAGCAAAAACAAACTCAAAATTTGTTCCAGGTAACTTTGAAAATAAGAAGTTTCTCATCCCTCTGGGCCCTGAATTCCAAAATCATCATAAAGAAAACTATATTGGCCAAAGATCTGACTCCTTCCTAAGTATTCTATTTTTATAACATTTGCATTTGGACACTCAATAATTTATTTGCATTTTATTAATAAGAGCTTACCTTATCAACGGCTGATGCAGAGCAACCAAAGAAGCATGGACTATAACTGATATGACAGAAAGGTGGAAGTAATCAAACATAACATTGACGTAATGATGAAGGCCCCGGTGTAAGTTAAAGTGCAACTTTAAAGTTCGGCTACTAATTGGCTGTAGTGTGCTCAGGTCATCTGGTCTAAAACAAAACAACATACAATTAGAACAATCATATTTAAAGTGCAAGTTATCAATAACTGACGCAGATAGCAATTTAGCCTAGCTTTGTACTTTGGAATGCAATGACATCTCCCCCAGGAAAAAAAAAATATGAAAAAATAATCAGAATGAGAAAAAAGAGTTATGGAACCTGAACAGACTTCAGTGTTGGACTTCTTATTTACCCTCATATATGTCTAATATGAACATACTACAGCTATATATAGTACAGATTTAATCAATTAAAAAAGTTAACACATATTGTTGCTTTAATAAAATTTTCTATATTTAAACTTACGAATAGTCTGTATCCGTGAAGTGTAGATCTAATGTTAGCAGAAAATTCATTTCATTAAGAGACTCCTCAATCTAAAAAGAAATTGTAGAAGCACAAAATCTTTTCAGGTCTCTTATTTATACTAATCCAAACTGTACATAACAGAGACTTAATTATCTGAATATAGTAAATTGAGTAGCAGATTACCTTCCTCTCATCTAACAGCATTTTTATTTTGAAAATCATCACATCATTCACAGAAACTTCCTCATTTTTGTAAAGAATCTGAAATGTTTTACTGCAAACTATATTGTCATGGACTGAAGCAGGAAAGGCAAGATCTGCACCTAAAAAAAGAAACAAGTATTAATATAATTGGCCTAGAATCTGAAACTCCAGAGCAGCTAATAAGTGGAACCATCATTCCGATCAGTTTCACGTTCACTATTAAAACTGTAACACCAACACCATCAGCAGTTTCCATTTCAGTCAGCAACTGCTGGAGTCTGAAGGAGTGCATTTTGTTTCAAAGAAATACTGTATCAATATTTTTAATGTAATTTGCTTTTAATACAAGTTCTAGACTGAAGAATTTTTGCTTTGTTCCAAATTGGAGTAAGACATTCTAAGCATCAAAAATTCTAACAAAAAACCTGAAATCTGTGTTGTTTTATTCAGCATTCATGTTGATTTGCAAGGTTTAACCACACTGAGAACTCTTAATTACCTACAGATGAGGCAAAGAGGTTAAATGGCATATACCATTCGACTGTATTAATCAAGAACAGAGGTGGTTCATTCTTTCCTTTTAGATCTTTGCGTACTACTCTGGCCAGACCAGTTCCAAGCGTATCACCTGAACCTTACATTTCTCATTCAGCATGACACTTCTGCTTTCAGTCCAGAGGCAGCTTATCAAAAAGAGTTCAGAAAAGTGTGATAAATGGTTGGGGAATCCTGTGCCAAAAAAGGGTTAAAAGACTTGCAGAAGAAATGAGAAAGGGAATGGTTTAAAATAGTTATTGAGGATGTACTTAGCATAATAGCAATGGGTTATCGCACAGGAAACATACAATGGGCACCATCCTGTGAAACAACATAGAAGAAGATGGAACTTGGAAGAACAAAAGTAACAGAAATACTGACGCTTACTTATCACTCCTCTACAAGCAGGCTAAAAAACATTAACCTCTTCCAGAACACAAAATCTTAGAAGTTGTGTAAATGGGGGTACAAAACATCTTTTTAAATTCTTGTGATTCGTCTTAATAAATTACTTCAAAAGAATCCACAAAGAAAAAAAAAAATTGCAAAATTTGCTCTTTACAGATTTGGGATCTACAGGCCTCTGATAGAAAATCACTGCACCTGGCAAATATTTCCACTCTACAATCTTCATAACATCTTAGTTCAACTTCCCTTCAGAAACTAGAAACAAGTAAAAATACTTGGTTTTGCTGAAGTGCTTTCACACATATCAATTTAGGTGTCCTGGAGGATAAAACGCTTACAAAAGCCAAATCGTTAAAGAGTAATCCCCCTACATGTAACGTCACTTTCAGCTTATATCCATCCGTGTCATCTGTTACAGGTGAAGGGCAGAGCAGGTGTGGTTTCACATGACACAATCTGATAAAACAACACAGCATCAGCAAAAGGGATATCCCACTCCAGTCTGATACAAAAGAAGTAACGGAGACACATGGCCAAGGTCCCACTTCCAATTCTGAGTTACAGCCCTCAGTTCTGCTGACTTCAGCGTAACATGAAACACCACCCTCAGAACTGAGAAAGAGGAGTCGAAGACGAAAAGTGCACACCAGCAACAGGCCAAGCCACATCTATGTGGGGAGCAAGGTCTCACAAACGTGAGGTCAACAAGGCAGAACTACTATTTTTTAAACCACCAACACACTGACTGGCCAAGACTCTTTCTAGGCTTCTATCCACACAAAAAGCCATCTCAGCAACCGAGGGGAAAAAACAGTGGCGAACTAATTTATTCTTGCATCGTAAAAATGGACATCTCATTCCTAACTTGCTCTTTTTTTCCTTCTTTTTTTTTTTCCTAAAAAACAGCCACAAGTTTCTGATAGAAGGAGGAATTCAGAACAGCCTCAAATCTGAAACAACCTCATACAGGCTAGAATGACGTACGTTTTGCTTTTAACTTTCTAGGCATGACTACATCTCCCTTCAAATTACAAGAATGCCAGGAGACCGTTAGTAGGCTAGAGCTAAAGCAAGTGGCCTGCCGTATCACATCTGTAATGATGCTTGTCCTGGGCCCTGAGCATCTCTAGAAAAAAGGATGTGGGAAATAGAAATGGAAGAAAACTGGATTTAAATTATCATGGGACCTCATGAAGAGCTGGGAAGGGCTGGGCAAGGGGTGGAAGGAGATGCAAAGGAACAGGAAGAAGAGAAAAACTGTATATTTGACTTGGGGAAATAAAAGGAAGAGATCGATCAAACAGTCTGTGGGAGAGGGAAAAACACAGTTAAGGTAGGGAAACTGCAGGTGAATTGTGCAGAGGCTACTGAGAGCTAGAAGTAGGCAAAATGGCTTGGACTGGAGTGGGAAAACCATGACACTGTCAAAGGGAATAGATTTAGAGTAAGTATGAGGAAGGCAGAACAAGAGATAGAAAAGTATAGGAAGAGGTACCTGACCAACAAAGGACACCATTCTCAAGAGTGGTAGCTGTGGGCTCCTGTCCAGCCTCCTCTATGGTCAACAAGCAACAGAAACTGTCAGATAGTGAGTCAACCCTCTTCGTGCTAGCCCACAGGCAGCATAACAGCAGCTATTTTCTACAAATATTGGCAGTCTCAGTAACTGGCATCAGCTATTTCACCACCTTGAGCAGGAGAGCTGTGAGTTACAGCTACAGTGTAAGCAAGCAGCTGAAACAAATGGAAGGCAGAGGTCCTCGGGCAAGGCCAAGCACGACCACGTCCATAAGAAGGACAAACTAACGTCCTTCCATCGACCGTCTCGTACCCTTCTCTCTGTTGTGGCACAAACATTATCAATAACTACCTGATAAACCAAACGGAGACATCTTGAAAGGACTCTAGTTTGGGGATTTGGAGGGGTTTGGTTTATTGTGAAATGGCTACTCGCCAGCTGAAAGAATTCCCCAGTTGAGTTCCCAGGTCAAATCAGGCACTTGTGTCAAGAGAGCACAGAGCAACATGAAGGTAAGAAGGAGTGGCCAGCGGGAATCATGGACTGATTTTAACGGCACTGCCAATCTAAACTCACATCAAATTGTAATCTTAATGTTTACATCCTTTATGTCTAGTAATGAGAGACAAACAAGCTAATACATATGTCACAATTTACTAACAAGAGTGCAGCTTTCTGAAGAAAATAACTGAAGACCATTCTAAAATATACTATGAAATGGAAAAACTTTTTTTCAGTGATATTAAACATATCATGAAGTGACATTATTAAAAATTATTTTTTACTAAAGCATCAGTTTAGCCGAGCTAAATTCCCTAAACTACACTAAAATTTGCCTTTGAAATGGAGTAATCTTGGTTCGTAAGAATCATTTATTTCACACAAATCCAAGAAATACCCAGGAAGGATGACTAAATTTCACTATCTACATTGTTGGTCTACTGAGAGTTACTTTTAAAATAGGCTGAAAAATTCAGGTTTCAGTAATCTCATATCACATTTTCTCAGACTATAGCAGGTTTTTCTTCCTTGCAATTCCAAGAATTCCACCTGTCATTTGTACACTTAATTCATTTTTTGCTTTTCACATTTTTACAGCACGCTGAGGTGTGGGCTTAACAGAATTAGGAGAGCACTAACAGATTTCTTCAGGTTCAGTTTGCCTGGACAAAGAAACTAAAAGTGAGTGCCAGGTTTAAAAAAAAAAAAAAAAAAAAGGAAAAAAGATGAAGAAGTGGGTAATGCTGCTCAGGAGGTTAAATCAATTTTCAACTTTGTCACCAGACAGCAAGAGAGAAAGTTTGAAAGCAGCAAGACTGGATCCTTTCAGTCTTCTTTTTGGGAAAAAATGGGCTTGGCAATCTGCATAACAGTCTGTATGTGAAGTTCTCCACTACTATGAGGATATCTACTTAAATGAGATCTGCCCTTCGTCACCTTAGTCTGAAACATAGAGAAGACTGAACCGAACAGTGGAAGAAACAGAAGACACTAATATGAAGGAATCACTATGTTTTACTACCAGCAAAGGGAATTAACAGAGGAAAAACAGTAACACAAATTCTGTAATCAAATTTTAAGTCTCACTGCTAAGAACAAGCTAGTTTTTAGCAGGTCATCATGAAACAACTTATACTTTTATTGTGTTAAGAACAAAATTAAAAACACTTTTATATTAGTAGTAACAATAGAAGACAAAAAGCATGCTCCCTTAATTAGCAAGGCAAGATAATGGCCTCATTTACCAGAACTTTTTGCACTTACCCGTTGCATGTAACAAGCTAGCTTCTAATTTGTGTGGAATTCTTGGAGGAATTTTCATAGATGCACGAATCTGGTAAAAGCTAAAGCAAAAGACAGTGACTTGCAACACATACAGTACAGTACATCTCATTTACCATATACAGACACAATCACAAAGGCAGGAATGGAGAGTGGGAAGGAGGAACTGGGCAAGGAAGTCTACGAAACTTAAAACTGTCTTATTTGGACTCTTCATTCTACTGGCTATTTTTCTTAACCATTAACGAGAGCAGCAACCAAACACATGGATAAAAGAAGGAAGCCTCAACGCAGAACTAATCTTTTCACATCCCACAGTGTTGGGGTAAATATTTACGGTGATACACAGAATCATAGAATGGTTTGGGTTGGAAGGGACGTCAAAGATCATCTAGTTCCAACCCCCCTGCCATGGGCAGGGACACCCTCCACTAGACCAGGCTGCCCAAAGCCTCATCCAACCTGGCCTTGAACACTTCCAGGGATGGGGCATCCATAGCTTCTCTGGGCAACCTGTTCCAGTGTCTCACCACCCTCATCATGAAACAATTATTCCTTCTCTCTAATCAAAATCTACCCTCCTTCAGCTTAAACCCATTACCCCTTGTCCTGTCACTACATGCCCTTGTAAAGAGTCCCTCTCTGGCTTTCCTGTAGGCCCCCTTCAGGCACCAGAAGGCTGCTATAAGGTCTCCCCAGTCTTCTCTTCTCCAGGCTGAACAATCCCAACTGTCTCAGCCTGTACTCACAGGAGAGGCACTCCAGCCCTCCGATCAGCTTCATGGCCCTCCTCTGACCTCACACCAAAAGCACTGTGTCTTTCTTGTACTGAAGAGCTGGATGCAGTACTCCAGGTGGGGTCTCACAAGAGCAGGGTAGAAGGGGAGAATCACCTCCCTTGACCTGCTGGTCATGCTTCCTTTGATGCAGCCCAGAACGTGGTTAGCTTTCTGGGCTGCAAGCGCACACTGCCGGCTCATGTTGAGCTTCTCGTCCACCAACACCTCCAAGTTCTTCTCCTCAGGGCTGATCTCAATCCATTCTCCTCCCAGCCTGTAGCTGTGCTTGGGATTGTCCCAACCCATGTGCAGGACCTTACACTTGGCTTTGTTGAACTTCATGCAGTTCGCATGGGCCCACCTCTCCAGCCTGTCAAGGTCCCTCTGGATGGCATCCCTTCCTTCCAATGTGTGGACCACACCACATAGCTTGATGTCATCGGCAAACTTGCTGAGGGTGCACTCGATCCCACTGTCTGTGTTGCCAACAAAGATGTTAAACAGCACCAGTCCCAATATCAACCCGAGGACTGTGTCCAGTGCCCACCTGGACATCGAAATGTTGACCACAAATCTATGAGTGCGACCATCCAGCCATGGTAAACTACAGTGGAGAACTGATATGAATGAAAAATCAGGATTGTCAGCTACACTACAACCATCTCAGAAGGATCTACCACGTAGCACATCTACAGGACTGCTATAGCCAATTCTGCCATGGAAGGAGCTATGTGTGAAACTGCAACACACATCCCCACCCCCCCAGGATCCCCAGAAAACACACTGCTTACCAGACACTCTCTGCATTGCTTGTGGCCACTAGTTATTAAAATGTGCAAATAAAGGGTCACACTAAGCAAAATATGACAGTACTTGCAGTGTTAAGACATCGTACTATGGCCTTTATGCTATCAAGGCAGGAACTGCAGGCTTAAAGCCTAAAGTTAAAAAACCTCAACAACATAAAAAGCTTTGTTCTCTGCATCTCGGCCCCCATCTTTAAACAGTTTTTAATCCTATTCAGCTCCATACTGTTTCCAACTTTGATTTTCATCTAGGAAATCCCTAACTGTCACCCATATTGATTTTAAGGAACTCTTTACATGACACAAGCACCCATAAATACACTCAGATGACATGTTCTCTCCGTCTCATCCCATTTCAGATCATCTATTTTTGTTTGCAGGGGTTAGTTTCCCAGTGAGCTGATGTGACCTACCGCACAGCCCCACAAATACTAACACCAAAAAAGGGAGGGAGCAAGAACTTTCACAAGTAGAAAGTAGGAAGACAAAAACACCTTTATAAGCAGAAGCATGGTCTTAAATACCCTTATGAGTATGCAATTTACCCTTTGTATTCCACTCATGGTGTATACCCACTCACAGTCTTATGGCTTCTCTTCATTATCCTCACCATCCAAATCCAAACTACTCTAATCTATTCTGTTGTTCTGATTTTGGCTTCTTACACTTCAGTTTCGAAGCTGACCATCCAAGACTTTGCTAGCAACTAATATAACCGTGTACTAGCCTAACAATCAACCAATAAAAAAAAAAAAAGTAATTTAATCCTCCCACAAAATTAAAAAGTCAACTTCAGTCTGGTCAAAACTGTACGTCAAAGAATGCTTTATAACAGAAGATTCTTAATGAACGAGTGATATTGCTAGAGATAAAAGATGACAGCAAAATAATTCCTACCTTTTAAAAACCAAATAAAACTTAACTTGCAAATTAATAATTAAATATTTTGGTTTTAGAAACCCAAAGGTCAAACATGATTCCATATACATTTCTTAACTGATTCATAAACAGTAAATAAATTAATTTTGTATTGGATTAAAAAAATAATTAATGTAACATTAAGCTTTCACTGTCATGTTCTCCAAGAGTGTAAGGAATTGAAGAGATTAAGAGAGACCTCTCAACATTAATCCAGAAGGATGCAATCTCGTACACTGATGTACTCCTTTTCTCGGGGTCAGATGTGACTTCCATCATTCAATCAGTTACTCATTTCATCTATGTTGAGGACACAATACATTATTAACATGTAATAGCCTCAGCAAGGAAATACTTTCCACCAGCCCCAGTTTCACAGTCATTTTATGGATCCACAGTAAACATTTATCAAGAGCCTGACACCCTACCACTACAAGCTGCATCTTCCCGTGATCCAAACAACTAGGCTGTGATGGCAGAGCTTGTTACTTCAGGTATTAAGAAAAGAATGCAAAATGACTGGTAGTTCAGAGACATGCCAGATACTTTACTTCATCTCACCCCAACCTTCTACCAAACTGGGTCGCTTTTTTTAAGAATTTAAAATGTCCAAAATCTGCATCATTCTCAGTTCACGTTTAGAACCATGTGTCAGCTCTACAGAGCATTAATTTAACTAAGGCTTATCAACTTTACTAAATGTGGATAGACTAATGAATTCGGACCATAACAAGGTAAAATGAAAGGCAAAGGCAAAATAAAAACTGAGCACTAAACAGAAAAAAGGTGCAATGTGATATTCCTATTACTTAATGCAATAAGACTCATTTTCCCTAAAGATGCTATTAAGTGGCTGTTTACAATCTAGGCTTCAAAGAAAGCAATCAATAGAATTGTTCGTGCTTAGAATGCAATTTGTGAAATAAAAAGGCTGTTAGGGCATCCTTCCTTTCCCTATTATTACTTGCTAGCAATTAATCAAAAGCAGAATATTCTACTCTTTATCACATAAACCCTTTACCTGTTTGATGTATTTTAATTTGGGCTAATAGGAAGATGAATGTGTATTGTTTGAGACAGGTGGCTTTGATTTTCAGCAGATTTATACTTTGAGCAGTTTATAACATAAAATGTTCACCTGTTAATCTGAATAATAAAATCCTGTAGGAGTTCAGCTCAGGGCTAATATGTAAACATTAATTCAAAATCTTGTGCCTAGATCTTTGAAACAATTATTTAACTGCATCAAGATATTTAAATAAAAAAAGCCCCAACCTCCTACACAGTATTTACCCAAATTATTCACTGCTACTCATGTTTAAATGCTGTATATATTAAAGATCTATCTGCAAATGAAGAGCTATGATACTGAAACACAGTACCTTATTCATGAAGGAATTACATTTCTAATACATAAAATAAGGAAATGCTTCCTAAAGTTAAGATATACATTCCTCATTTGACCGCAAATTTTAAAAGACATTTCAAAAAAATGCATCAAGCCTTGTCATTCTCTTCCCCTTAAGCCCTGCCTTCCTCATCTTCCTTCCATCTCTGGTTCAACTCATTAATCGATTTGTGTTGCAATGCTTCTTTTTCTATTTTAAACCAAAACAAAACCAAGTCACTTTCAACTATTTCCCAGCTGTACCATAAATGCTGTTTAGTTCTCATATACACAACAACTGACCCATAAACCTTATCTATTCTATTCTATCTGCTTGGGCTTCCACATAACAACTCAGTATCAAGGACTTGTTACTTACCTATCACATTCAATTATGCCAAATATCCTTAAAATACTCCAAAAATAAGATCTCAATGCAATAAACTCTTCATAATCTTACATAACGAGAGAATGAAGGTATCCCAGGTAGTAGAAAATCCCATACAATAACAATGCTGCAGAACATGCCACTGTTAGTACAGCAAATGTGTCCAAACAGATGAAGTAGCTCGGGAGTACCAAAGCTTTCAAACCCCAGCCCAGCATCTTCCAAGAGGTGGCATGTGCAGACTTAATCAGGCAGTTGCGGGCTTAGTACTACAATTTTTCAGAGGATCTAACAGTTTGGGTCCACCAGTACGTCTATACTAAAATGCCTTCCTGAAGGCCACAGGGATGGAGAACACGGTACAAACATTTCAGTGGCGTGGCCTGTGCTAAAGCAAAGTCAGTAAGATTCACACGCCTAACCTCGGCACGGCTCATCTTCTCTGACACACACCTGTAATCCCAGAAACGGGACAAAGGAATCCTGGAACTGACCCTGCACCAGTTTGGCTTCAAGTCCTGACTTTGATGGCAACCTGGAAAAATGCCTGACTGATAATAGAGACAGAGGCTCTATGTTCATTTCAAGGTTTATGTAAAACTGTTTTTCAGAGCAGAAATATTAAAAAAGAAATAAAAATAGATCAAGTTCTGCAATCACCATTAAGACTCCAGAAAAGTGCTGACATTCTTAAAGCTTAGATTAGTAGTGACTTTTTGTGAAGAGTTTTGAAGAATAATTTGAAAAATTCTGTGTTAATTAATCTCTCTTTTGACTGCATTAA